CAAAATATAATAACTCATAAGACTAAAAATTAGGAAATTTGTTAATTTTTTCTTTCTTTTTGACATAGTTTTGCTCTTGTCACACAGGCTGGAGTGCAGTGGTGTGATCTCAGCTCACTGCAACCTCTGCCTCCCGGGTTCAAATGATTCTCCTGCCTCGGCCTCCCGAGTAGCTGGGATTATGGGCATGTACCACCATGCCCAGCTAACTTTTGCATTTTTAGTAGAGACGCAGTTTTGCCATGTTGGCCAGGCTGGTCCTGAACTCCTGACCTCAGGCGATCTGCCCACCTTAGCCTCCCAAAGTGCAGGGATTACAGGCATGAGTCATTGCTCCCGATCTAGTTTTTTGTTTTTTTAATTGAAATAGAGTGTTGCTCTGTCACCCAGGCTGGAGTGCAGTGGCAGAATCATGGCTCACAGCAGTCTCAAACTCCCGTGCGCAAGCAATCCTACTTCAGCTCCCAAGTAGCTGGGACTATGGTCATGTGCCAATGTACCATCATGTCTAGCTACTTTTTTTTTGTAGAATCAGGGTCTCGCTATGTTGCCCATAATTTGGTTTCTTATTCTTGGCTTTGCTGCTAATAGGCTGTGTATTTAAGGGCCAGTCACTTAACTACTCCCTTTCAGTAAGATAAGAAAACTTTCTAACTCTATGATTCCAAATGCTTAGGTCCACACTCAATGAGGCTGCCAACCTAATGACTATTCTTTCCTACTGTGTACCAGAAACTGTGCTAGGCTGGGGAACAGAATAGTGAGTAACTGAAGCAGTCCCTACTTTACTCGTATTTATATTCTGAAGAGAGAGGCAGACATTAACCTCTACAATTAATTATGTAACTATAGCTGTGGTATGTCTGTTTTCTTTCTTTCTTTCTTTTGTTGCATCTCAGATGACACAACCCAATGTATTGTTTGTTTTTTGAGACAGGGTCTCACTCTGTCACCCAGGCCGAAGTGCAATGGCACAATCATGGCTCACTGTAGCCTCGAACTCCTGGGCTCAAGTAATCCTCCAGCCCCAGCCTACAGAGTAGCTACGACTACAAGTGCACACACCACTCTGTCTGGTTATTGGCTATATTTTTTTGGTAGAGATGGGTCTCCCTATGTTGATCAGGCTGGTCTCGAACTTCTGAGCTCAAGCAATCCTCCTGCCTCAGTCTCCCAAAGTGCTGAGATTACAGGTGTGAACCACCATGCCTGGCCTATTTAAATGTTTTTTTTTTTTTCATAGATTACAATTTCATCATTTTTTTCTATGTAGCTGTTCCACATAAGCAAATTTGTCCTTTTGAGAAAAAGGGGAGGAAAAAATAATCCTTGAAACTTTTCCCCTCTAGTCCAGCATCTGATTATTTAAAAACATATCTCATGTAAAATGGAAAAGATAAAAATAAAAAAGTATGTAGTGACACTCCTCCTGCCACTGCCAAGTGTGTCTCTTGGACCAAAAAGGAGGAAGGAAGAGTTTCGGTTGCAGAAAGAGCTCTCATCTGTCTTATATGCTGTAAAGCATTGGGCGCCAAGAGAGTACACCTGACTGATCCTGGGGAGCCAGGAAAAGATTCTTTTGAAGAAGACATATTCCAGCTGTGGTGGTCTAACCACCTTCCCAGTACCCTCCTCTGAACAATGAGTGCTGTAATCTGCGGCATCCTTCTGGCCCTGATCTTTACCACTTTAGGAGATAATCCATATTGGCCATCTCAGAGATCACTCTCATTGTCCACTCTCTTCATAGGCCTTTTTATTTTTTATTTTTTTGAGATGGAGTTTCGCTCTTATTGCCCAGGCTGGAGTGCAGTGGTGCGATCTCAGTTCACTGCAACCTCCACCTCCCAGGTTCAAGCGATTCTCCTGGTTCAGCCTCCTGAGTAGCTGGAATTACAGGCATCTGTCACCACATTCAGCTAAAGGTTCTTGCATTTTTAGTAGAGAAGGGATTTCACCATGTTGGCTAGGCTTGTCTCGAACTCCTGACCTCAGGTGATCCACTCACCTTGGCTTCCCGAAGTGCTGGGATTATAGGCGTGAGTCACTGCACCTGGCCTACATACTAATTTAATCCTCACATAACTCCATGAGGTAGATATTGTTATTATTCTCACTTTACAGAGGAGAAAACAGGCTCATCAAAGGTAAAGAACTTGCCAAAGTCAAACAGCTATTTCAGTGGCAGAGCCAGGATTTGAATGCATGTAGCCGGTTCCTGAGTCTATGCTGGATCTATCCCTGTATTTGACTTAGCTAGAGCAGATTCCTTACAACTAAACAAGCCAGATCACAACATCTCTATTAAACCTTTCACAGGACTAAGTCTCATCCTCCCGAGTAGAACAGAAGTTCATTAAGGGCAGGAGCCATTTCTAGGTGGTACTTGGGTATTACATAGAATGAGTTATATACAGCCTTACACTGAGATGGGTGCCTGAATGAAAACAGCAGTATTTTATCTGTGCAGCTCTGAATCTATAACACATAGAAAATGACTTCTGTTGCATAGTGAGCATGTAAGGTAACAGTCTGCAGTTGCTTTCTTTCATTCACTAGAGCTTCTATTACTAAGCATGTCATACATCCTCACATTTTACATATATTAAAATTGTATAAAATCTTTGGTTGGGCCTGGCATGGTGGTTCATGCCTGTAATCCCAGCACTTTGGGAGACCAAGGCGGGTGGATTACCTGACATCAGGAGTTTGAGACTAGCCCTGTCTCTACTAAAAATACAAAAATTAGCCGGGTGTGGTGGCATGCGCCTGTAGTCCTAGCTACTCGGGAAGCTGAGGCAGGAGAATTGCTTGAACCTGGGAGGCAGAGGTTGCAGTGAGCTGAGATTGTGCCACTGCACACCAGCTTGGGGGAGGGAGTGAGACTCTGTCTCAAAAAAAAAAAAATCTTTGGTTGATGGAGAGGCTCTGGAAGGTACCATGAAAGTGTTGGACTCAATTATTGAAGGATGGGTCTCTGGGATAACAGACAAAGCCCCTCAGGTGGGTTGAAGCAGTCAGAGAGATGTCACCTGGCATTGTGCCCTGCGTTGTTTACAATGTATAATTATACTTACTGCTTTGCTCAGATATGAAGAGCCAACAGTGATGTTAGGGCAAACACTCTTGGTAGATGTCTCATCACACTGCATACAATGCAAGGGACTGGTCCCACACCGAGGCTGGCCCTAAGCAGCGTGTCCTCCGTGACACTGTGCTCATCCTCTCTGACACTGCACTCGTCTCACCAGGGAGCTGCCTGTTGTTTGTTACTGTTCCCCTCACAGTTCCAGGTATGTTTCTGAGTATATACGAGGTCACCAAATGCTCATTGATTTAATGATTAAACGCCAGACAGAGCAAGGCAGAGCTAGTTGTTTTTTTTTTTTGTCTGCTTTGTTTGTTTTTGGGAGACAGAGTTTCACTCTTGTTACCCAGGCTGGAGTACAATGGCGCAATCTCGGCTCACCGCAACCTCCGCCTCCTGGGTTCAGGCAATTCTCCTGCCTCAGCCTCCTCAGTAGCTGAGATTACAGGCACGCGCCACCATGCCCAGCTAATTTTTTGTATTTTTAGTAGAGACGGGGTTTCACCATGTTGACCAGGATGGTCTCGATCTCTTGACCTCGTGATCCACCTGCCTCTGCCTCCCAAAGTGCTGGGATTACAGGCTTGAGCCACCGTGCCCGGCGTAGGGTTTGTTGAAGAAAAGCATTTCAGAAGAAGCTGAGGATCAAGGGCTGGAAGGAGAAGAGACACAAAGCTGGTGGCCTGAGGCAGGCAAGGGGAAGGGCACGAGCTGTCCCCTCAGACTCTGCTCCTCTGCCTTAAATCCCCCTTTAATTATTTCAAGTGTATTAGTTTCCCCAGCTTCAAAACCTTCCTGATGGCGCTGCCTAAGGCCTCAGCATCTCCCCAGCACATGTTGTGCACTGTTGCTGAACAGTTACTGGGCACAGCACCCTGGTCCTTCCACCTACACCATGGACTCTGCTCCCTAGAACTGACCAGGGGAGAACCAGGCACACACCAGCCTTGAGCTCTTGCTTCTTTGTTCCACTGACCCTTGAGGGGCTACCTGGACTCCTTCCACAGATACTACCTGGAGAAAAAACTAGGGGCAAATGTGAGTCTGCTCACTGCGCTGTCTGGGGCCCAGCATCAACTTTTTCTTTTCCTTTCCCTGAAACCAAAAAGCCATTTTAGTGTGCTAGTAGGACAGACTGAGATTAGATTAGAAACAAAGGGTTTGATTATTTCCCAAGATAAATGCAAAAGAGCTTATGCATAAACCATTTCCAGCAGTCCGTCCAGGAGGCTGTGACACTAACGGAAGCTCAGAGCCTAGGGAGCACAAGACAAATCTGTGGGGCAAGGAAAAAGAAAGAAGGAGAAAACCTCCATGAGTCCCTAACAGCACGTAGAAATCCAGAAATGCAGGGGAGGCCTGTAGTCATGGTGGAATCCAGGATGAAAGAGGTAGATGACAGAATGAGTGAAAGGAGACAAGCGCAGGAGGCTTGGAGTCACATTTCTTGGAAGTGGCCTGGAGCTGGCAGATTATAACTCTGGCTGCCAGCCCTCATTCCACTAACAACAGCTCCTCTAACAATATGCCCCTTCCCTTTGTACTCAGCTCCAAAGGGGGAAAATAATTCCTACAGTGTTGGCTTTGCATGTGGATGAAACCCCTTGAGGGGTAAAGTTTTATTTATTTACTATTTTTATTTTTTTCTTGAGACGGAGTCTCCGTTGCCAGGCTGGAGTGTAGTGGCGTGATCTCAGCTCACTGCAACCTCGCCATCCCAGGTTCAAGTGATTCTCCTGCCTCAGCCTCCAGAGTAGCTGGGACTATAGGTGCACCCTACCACGCCCAGCTAATTTTTGTATTTTTTAGTCAGAGATGGAGTTTCACCATGTTGGCCAGGATGGTCTCAATCTCTTGACCTTGTGATCCACCCACCATGGCCTCCCAAATTGCTAGGATTACAGGCATGAACCATACCTTTTTTTTTTTTTTTTTGAGATGGAGCTTAGCTCTTGTCACCCAGGCTAAAGTGCAATGGCTCAATCTTGGCTCACTGCAACCTCTGTCTCCCAGGTTCAAGCAATGCTCCTGCCTCAGCTTCCCGAGGAGCTGGGATTACAGGTATGCACCACCACACCCAGCTAATTTTTGTAATTTTAGTAGAGAAGAGGTTTTGCCATGTTGGCCAGGCTCGTCTTGAACTCCTTACCTCAGGTAATCTGCCTGCCTCAGCCTCCCAAAGTGCTGGGATTACATAGCCAGCATCTTTATTAAGTGCCTGTCAAAGAATGTTCCTCATTTATAAGTACCCCTGGCTCTACGTTCTCGGTGCTCAGACACCAACACAGAGAGAAGAGAATTAACATCCTGAGGAGTCCCATACACTAAAATATAAAGGGTAAGCTTGTGAGGAAACTGCAGGGGAAGAGGTAGGTTAGGAAACTGTATCCCCACTTTTCTGCTGACCGATGAGTCTTAAAATTCTTGAATTTCAGTGCTGAAAAGGTCCATTAAACATTCCAGGAGATTCTAGGGGGCTTCCAGAATGGTAGAAGAACTGGAACATAAAGCCTGGGGAAGGGATGGAAATCCTTGGGAAAGAAGCACTAAGCAGCCCAGTGGAAACAAGGAAGGACTGGTGTCTCCTGTGCTTCGAGCCTAGCCATGATTATTCATTTAGATATATCCCGGCAGGTCCTGCTGCTGCAGCCAGTGCCATTCCCAGACCCAGGCAAGGTGCCATACCACCCCTGACAGGAAACAGGACCAGGAGGTGGGGCTTCCCTGGGTGCCTCGTGTCAGGGGGAATCCAGGGTGTTCGGAGGATGAGGCACAGTCAGCTAGCTGTGAGGCTGGGGGGAGAAGACCTCTCTGGTCCGGGAGAGACCCCTCCTTTCCTAGCTCCCCGTACTTCCAAAAAGGCAGGCTTCCTCCTATTCCTAACCATATCAGGACTATACAGAGAAACCTAAGATAGAGAAAAACAGATGGGGGAAGGGGGAGAAGAGAACTTCAGAGGACACTAGGGAAAGAGAATGGGAACTTGTGGTCTAAAGAGCGAAGCAACTCTGGCCAACATGGTGAAAATTGTCTCTATTACAAATACAAAAAGTAGCCAGGCATGGTAGCACATGCCTGTAATCCCAGCTACTCAGGAGGCTGAGGCATGAGAATCACCTGAGCCTAGGAGACAGAGGTTGCAGTGAGCTGAGACCACGCCATTGCACTCTGGCCTGGGTGACAGAGCAAGACTTTGTCTTAAAAAAATTTTTTTTTAATTAAAAAATAAAGAGGAAACCAACAAGAGCTGGCAGAATAAAGTCCCAAGCCAAATAACTCACTTGCCTTGGAAAAGCAGGACTGCCAGGGCCTTGGGGCCTCTGTTTATGGGGTATCAGTTCAGAGGAGAGTGAGCCTGAGCTGGCCTGGGAGGCCCTCCCTCCCTCCCAGATGAAAACAATAGGCCTGTTTTCCTGAGCTCTTCCTGTAATCCAGAAGGCCCACACAGAGAGGAAGAGGGGGGCAAAGGCAGTCGCTATACCCAGTGGGGGAGGAGGTATTTAGCCTCCCATATATTTATTAGCTCCCATAAAGACACCCCAAAACACCAACAATCTAAGTGTTAAAATAGTGACTGCTATGCAAGTGGAGCTTTAACACCTATCCCTTAGCCCCAGTACCACCAGATTACTAACCCTAAACCCCATCTGTAGGAGATATTCTGAAGCCACTGATACGGAGGGGAGGGGATAAGGGCCTGAGAGACAAGGGGCGGTTGGGGTTTCCCCAACAATTCAAGTCCCACAAGGATATAGTACTGGCAGAGATTTGGAAGGAGGAGCAAGCATTCTGACAGAAGGGTGGTGTCTTAGACATTCTTCAATTAGACATGAGTAACTAAAGGATGTGTGTGTGTGCATGCACAAGAAAAAACACAGAAGAGTATTCGTGTGTAAGAAAGAACATCTTGGCTGGGCACAGTGGCTCGTGCCTGTAATCTCAGTACTTTGGGAGGCCAGGGCAGGCAGATTGCCTCAACTAAGGAGCTCGAGATCACCCTGGGCAACATGGTGAAACTCCGTCTCTACTAAAATTTTAAAAAATTAGCTGGGCATGGTCGTGCGTGCCTGTAGTTCCAGCTACTCAGGAGGCTGAGGCACGAGAATCACTTGAGCCTCGGAGCCTAGTGGTGGCTGACCCCACTGTCCACTCCCTGAATGACATCCCTGAGTGGCCTGGCTGCTGGCTTTGCCATCATCATCATGGGGGACACTGGCATGTGGGGCATTGGCCAGCAGCCCTATTTGTGGGCATGGTACTGATCCTCATCTTTGCCAAGGTGCTCAGCCTCTCCACAAATCAGCCCCTCTCAAAACCCACCAGTCACAGAATATGATGTAAAGCCCACCCCTCCTCATTCCAGAATAAACAGCCTGACACACATGTGCCGGGCAGCTGCCCCCTCAGTAGTTGGTCTTGTAAGTGTATGGTGTCCCTGCGCTAGTCGTTTGTTGGCCAGGCCTTGTCCCCTCCCACCCCATGCTGTGGACGTCTGGGCCTACTCATCACCCATCCAGGTCCCTGAACAGTGAGGACTCAGGCCCTTGGACACCCCACCTGTCTCCACTGAATGCTCTATGTATAAGGATGAATTGGAGTTGTCATTTCCTCTTCACTGGATATTTATAAAGATTTGACCTGTCCATACTCCTGTGGAGTAGCCCTATTGCCCAACTATCTACTAACCTTCAGGGAGAGTGTCACGGCATGCAGGTTCCCACTGCTGAGCCTCCTTGGATGGAACAACCCTCTCCAGCCCAGGCTGCCAGGTCCTGTGCCTCAGCTGTGGCTCATAAGGTTCTCAGATGTTGGGGAGTGGTAGGGGATGAGAGTGTGAGTATGTAAGAGAGAGAAAATGGGAGTGGTTGTGTGAGCTGGGGACAGGGAAGTGGCAGGAAAAGTCTGATAAGATCACCTCCTCCTTCCTATCCAAGCAGAGGTACCAGACACAGCCCCCCAAGGACCCAAAGAGTAAGCAGAGAGCCAGATCCTGCCTTTCTCAATGGGAGGTGGCCCTCCCAGGCCTGAAGAAGTCTCCATTTACCCCAGAGCCAACTAGGAAGCAGGTGTAGGTAGCATCATCCTCACTTATCCCTAAGGTGCTTGGGGTGAATGGCAGACCCAAAGTCAAAGCATGAGACAGATGAAATGTTCCTATGGCAAGAGAAGAAGAAGAAGGGATCACCAGCACCTCTTCACTGAGCCAATGAAAGGAAGAGAGAAGGCAGGCAGTGGTGCAATCTAGGCTCACTGCAATCTCCGTCTCCTGGGTTCAAGCAATTCTCCTGCTTCAGCCTCCCAAGTAGCTAAGACTACAGGCATGTGTTACCACGCCCAGCTAATTTTTTTCTATTTTTAGTTGAGATGGGGTTTCATCATGTTGGCCAGGATAGTCTTGATCTCCTGACATGATCCGACCGCTTCAGCCTCCCAAAGTGCTGGGATTACAGGCATGAGCCACCACGCTCAGACCCTCATCAATTTTTTACTGTCCGTGACATACCATCATCGACTTTTTTTTTTTTTTTTGGATTGCAGCCATTTACTGAAATTGGAGACATTTTTTAATCTTCTTGAGACTCCATATCAGGCTGTTTACAAAGTCCACTGGGAGGCCAAGGATCATTTGAGCCCAGGAGTTTGAGACTGTGGTGAGCCTCAAAGGGCCACCGCACTACAGCCTGGGTGAGGAAAGACCCTGTCTTTCACGGTCCAAACTGCATGCTTGCTTGCTGTGGTCATTAAAAACTCTAGTTTTTAGGTTAGCAGATCTGCCTGTTACAAAATGAATAATTCCATTTAAAACAGATCTGCCTGCATTTCTTCAAGCATGAATTCCGAGTCCTTTAAAAGGTCTCCAACATCTGCACCCAAGCAAGCCATCCATGGATAAAAACATTACCAGCAGAACCCATAAAGCTGGTCCAGGCAAGTTGGACTCCACCATTTCAACTTCCAGCTTTCTGTGTAATGCCTGTGTGCCAACAGCTTGAGTTAGGCTTGCTCTTTAGGACTTCAGCAGCTATTCTCATCCTTCCTTTGGGACACAACTATCCATAAGGTGCTATCGAGAGCCACATTGCATCCGCACCTAGCTCCATATCTGATGAGAGCGGCCTCCTACCTCGAAAGCCATCGACTTTTTTTTTTTTTTTGAGACAGAGTCTTGCTTGTGTCACCCAGACTGGTGTGCAATGATGCAATCTCGGCTCACTGCAACGTCTATCTCCCAGGTTCAAGTGATTTTCCTGCCTTAGTCTCCTGAGTAGCTGGGATTATAGGAACCCATCATCACATCTGGGTAATTTTTTTACTTTTTAGTAGAGAAAGAGTTTCACCATCTTGGTCAGGCTGGTCTCAAACTCCTGACCTCAGGTGATTCACCCACCTTGGCCTTTCAAAGTGCTGGGATTACAAGCATAAGCCACCACGCCTGGCCTATTTTTTTTTTTTTTTTTTTTTTGAGACAGAAGTGTGGTGGCACAATCTCAACTCACTGCCACCTCCTCCTGTAGGTTCAAGTGATTCTCCTGCCTCAGCCTCCTAAGTACAATAATAGCTGGAACTATAGACATGTGTCATCATGCCCAGCTAATTTTTTGTATTTTTAATAGAGACGGGATTTCACCATGTTGGCCAGGCTGCTCTTGAACTCCTGACTTCAAGTGATCCAAATACCTCGGCCTCCCAAAAGGCTGGGATTATAGGTGGAAGCCACTGTGCCCAGCCTGGATTCTTTTTAATGATGACTTCAAAAAAATTCCCTTTCTCAGTTTGTGTTACTCTCTGAAACAGATTCCACTCTGCTAACCCTGCCTCTCACACTGTGAAACTTAAGCAGATCTTTTTATTCTGATTCCACAATGTGAAGTACTCATCCTCTGTTTATCGATGACTATCCGTGTTTTGAAGTGTTTTTATGGGAATGAAGCACAGTAGTGGAGGAAATCAGGTCAGTTCTAGAAGCAGAAGGAAGGCCAAGAAACCAGGAAAAATATTTATGTGATGGGAGGAGGGGTAGTTTATAAATCACTCATGGATCTCTAGGCCAGAGAGGGGTGTGAGACACACACATGCACACACACTGACTTGCAGGTACACGCAGAGGCAGAAACAAGTTAGGACATGACACATACATGAACACAGATACCATTCCCAGCAGAAACCAGTCAGAGCAGAGGGGCCCTGCCTGGAGCAAGGAGACTGGAACTAACTCCCTTCCTCCCACAGGCTGCTTTCCGTGCCTCCATGTCTAGGTTACCCACAGATCTGGCTGCCTCAGACAGGCCCTTGGGCTGGTAGCTGGACCCAGCCTGGAGGTCTTCACAGATGGAGGCCTATAGGAGGTGGCAGCTGCCACCTGGAGGGGGCTGCATAAGAGTGGGCAGTGCAGAGGAGAGAAAGCCAGGTGGTGGGGGAGGGAGGGAGGGAAAAGAGGGGACCAGATTCAAGCAGCCTTGCACTGGTTCTAAAATGGCCACAGAAAGGCAAGGGACAGATGGTCCCTTTCTGATGCTGAGCCGGGGAAGTGGGAAAAGGGAAAAGGAAAAAATAAATACCATCACAGTCAGAAATTTAAAAATAAACTGAAAAACCTAAAAAATAAACAGCTTGCTTCTGAGGTTCTGTCTGCTTCCAGAACCTTCTAAGAGAAAACAGAACTGCAGGCCTGGGAGGGCCATCCAAGCCTCGGGTGTGAAGACGGCTGGACGTCATTCTAGCCACCCCCTGTCCCCAGCTGGAGGATCTTGCAAGGTCTTCTGGATAGCTGCAGTGGTATCTCACCTTTCCCTCCCCAGCACTTCTTCCAAAGTCTGACAGTAGGTAAGCAAGGCCATGGCTTTTCAAACGTGACACGATGTCAGAGCAGTTTGAATCTGTCTCCTTCCCAAGAGTCAGTTCCCGTCCGAGATGGGCAGAATCAAGTTGATCCTCTCACAGTTGCTGCCCCTCCTGCCACCACCCGACTGCCCAGACTTGACAGTCCACAGGGCGCTTTCACAGTCATGACTGCACTGCACTGAAACCTGGAGGGAAGCTGGGCAGGAATGATTACCCCATCGCACAGACGAGAAAGCCAGGGCTCTAACAAGTGAAATCTTTGTCAAGGTGAAGCAAGAGTTCAAGGCTGTGCAGCCTTCTGATGGCACCACCAACACACTGCCCCCAACCTGCACCCCAGGCTTTCTCCAGTAGATTCCACCTCCCTCTGTGAGCCAAACAGGTTCTTCCTCAGGCTCACATATGACTGCTGTACAGCTGAATATTCCAGGTATGGTTTACCTGGAGCCTTGCCAATTCTCATGTTGGCGCCTTTTGGTTCTTGCCGGCGTAGGGATGAGGCAGAGGGCCAGGAGTACTGCACTAACCAGCGGCTTTCTCTCTGTTCTTTCTCACTCCTGGGTCTCTCTGTACATGCTGTTCACTCTTGCAAGCTCATCACTTTCCTCCTCTTTACCTGGATGCCTCATGCCCATGCCTCCCAACCTCAACTTAGACAATGTCACCTCCAGGAAGAGTCCCTGACAAGCCTCTCTTCCCACAATACCCTGTCCTGACCCTTTCATGACACCAATTCCTTTTTTGTGATTGATTCTCTCGTTGTCTGTCTTCTCTGCTAGACTAAATTCTTGGAGGTCAGGGCTGCCCTCAATACCTGTCTGCAGAATGAATGAATATAGAAATAAAAGAAAGCTGGTATTATCTAAAAAAAAAAAATCCCTCTTTCCTTAATGCAGTAGTTTCTAACACTAGTTTTGGATTATCTCCATCCTTCCAAAATAATGCTTGAATATTCACTTAAGTGGAATGTATAAGAGCAGCAACTAAAAGTGAATATTCTTTTTGTCATATGAATCAGCACCTCATAATTTATATGCTTGGTAAATATGTTTTACCAGAGAGTGGACTTTCTTTTTTCTCTCTTTCTTTTTTTTTTGAGATGCAGTTTTGCTTTTATTGCCCATGCTGGAATGCAGTGGTGCAATCTTGGCTCACCACAACCTCCGCCTCCCAGGTTCATGCAATTCTCCTGTCTCAGCCTCCCAAGTAGCTGGGATTACAGGCATGCACCACCATGCCCAGCTAATTTTGTATTTTTAGTAGAGACGGGGTTTATCCATGTTGGTCAGGCTGGTCTCAAACTCCTAACCTCAAGTGATCTGCCCGCCTCGGCCTCCCAAAGTGCTGGGATTACAGGCGTGAGCCACCATGCCTGGCTACAGTGGACTGTCTCAAGGCAGGGAATTCCTATATGGTGGGCAAAAACCAAACAGGAACACTAATAATGGCCCAAAGAGGTCAGGAGACAACAGCGTGAGAAAAGATGAAGGAAAGGCTTCCCAGAAGAGAAAAGAGCTCAGCACAGTGGACGGGAGAAGGAAACGGACAGAGGCTGGGCTGCGTGAGAAAGACCAAAGAAGTCCCCAACGCAGGGGGCCGACAGCGAGCAGGAAGGCTGTAAGATGGGTAACTCAGGGGCAGGCTTTCTTAGCTGAGACCGACAACAAGACAGGAATGTGGTGAGATGAAATGATAGGGAATGCTTAGTGTTTACTGCACTAAGAATCAGAAGGCCTGGGCACTGGTTCTGACTCTTCTGTATAATTTAGGCAAATCTGCAAGCCTCTTTTCCTTATCTACCCAGGCCCAGTTCAAAAGAATTCACCAATGTAAAAACATTTTAAAATCCATAAAGTGCTACATAGAGTCATTATGAAGAAATTAGCTCCCACAGAGCAAGGCAAAACTGTGGTAAAAAGTGATTTACTAAGACTGGGATTTGGCGTTACTGGGACTTGGGGTGAAGAGTGGCAGCTCAGGAGAAGAAACAAGATAAAAAGTAGAATTGAGAGGAAGGCAGGTGAGAGAGAAGGGAGGAAAAACAGACCTGTGGCCTTAGAGGCAGACTGATAGGGGCAGAGAGCAAGGGCAGTCCCTGGGAAGCGGACACCAGAGAGAGCAAGGAAGGACACAGCATGGCAGTGGGAGGGGGCAGAAAGGAGATGCCAGGCCCGTTCAGGCTAGCAGATACCAAGCTAACGGAGGAAGACAACACTAGTAATCAGGGCTTGGATAATAATAAGGCTTCTTGCTGCTGGTTTTCAATTGCAGCACAAACAAATCATTATACCTCATTGCCAGCCTCCTACTGTGGGAGTCAGGTGTCCACAAATCCAAGGGAAGAGACTAGGGAAGCTTCATGACCAAGAAAACTTGTGACCTGTGCCCATATGGTTTTGAATTCCAGAAGACCAATGAGAGGCCATGAGAGAAAACTTAGGAAGGAAAGCTCTGAAAGACAAGGGGACAGGAAAAGAGACCCTGGGAGGAGGGGAAGAGGGTGTGAAGCTGAGTCAGCTGGAGGAAGAACAGGTAGCGGGTGGGGCCAGCGGGAAGGGGATGAAGGACTGTCTGAATCACACTCTTAGAAAGGAAGAACAGGGTTACTCTCCAAAGGGTGGAGACCACATATTCTCTAGCCCCACCAAGGACCAACCCAGAATAAATTACAGCTGAAGAGATGTAGGTGAGACAGAAGGGGAACTTCCTGACCAGCAGGATGGAGCAAACATGTTCACTCGACTTTTCACCAGGCCTGTCTCTCCTCTTTATCCTAAGAAACCTTCCTAGACACCTTTCGTGCCAACTCTATAGCCTGGTGAGCCAGCTCATGCATTCATTCAACAAATACTGACTGTGTGCTATGTACAGGCATTGCTAGATACTAGAATGTGGCACTGAGCAAAACAGAAATTGTCCCTTCCTTCATGGAGCTTATAGTCTAGTCAAGGAAGCAGATATTAAAGACATAATTACATGATACCTGTGACAACTCTGATGAAAAAGGACAGAGTGCTACCAGAAAGATTCAAGGAGGCTGCAGTGAGCCACGCTTGCGCCACTGTACTCCAGCCTGGATGACAGAGAGAGAGAGAGACATTGCCTCAAAAAAAAAAAAAAGAGAGAGAAGAAAATAAAGACTAAAGGGAGGTCATGATGGGGAAGGGATCCAGGAAAGGCCTGCTAAGGAAGTGATATTTAAGCTGAGACCACAGGAACAAGCAAGAGTTAACGAAGTGGCCAGGCATGGTGGCTCATGCCTGTAATCCGAGCACTTTGGGAGGCCAAGGTGGGTGGATTACCTG